TTAATATACTTTTTTTCTTATATCTTATAATTAGCTTAGGATTTATTTTGGGGTTACATTTTCTTTAAAATAAGATATATACCATCTTTTTGGAATTTATAGAGTAATACTTATAGAAATAATTACAATCATTAAATTAGTTTTATTATAATTGTAAAAGTATTAGGTTACTATAAATTTAATACTTTTATAATTTATAATATTACAAATTTACTATAAGTTTATAAGAGTTTTAATAATTTTTAGGGCCTTTATAATTTCTATACCTTTATTATATTACATATCTTTATCTTTAGTATAAAAGAAGCTCCTAAAAGGTCTAAGAGTTATATATTAAGAATATATTATATTATAATAATAAAATTACAAGTATTTATATATAAATATATAATATATTAGACTAGCTATACTAAAAACCATATTATATCTATATATAAAGTTACTAATTACTTTATATTAATACCGGATTTATATAATTCTATAATTCTATATAATTAGCTAGTTATAGAAAAGCCCTAAAGCCTAAAACTTATAAAAAGTCTTAAAAGCTTTAGGACTTCCGAATTATTACTAGTATCTAATATTTTTTAAGAAAAGAATATAATATATTTTATAATAAATAACCTATTATAAACTATTTAATCTTTAAGTTAAATAAGAAATCTAAAAGCCGGGCTTATAATTCAAGTTTTATTAAGGTTATTAAAGTCTTTACTAGCTAGTATTATAGATTTAATATTATTATAAGAATTTTATAGGTTTTATTCTAATCTATTTAAAAAGTATATATAGTATATTTTTTTATTTATTCTAATATTTATATATAATTCCTAAGAGCTAAATTATTATTTAAGAAAAAAGTAAGAAGGCTAGACTAATACTTTTAAAAACTAAGGCCTTAATAAGTCTATTTAGAAAAGCTTACTAATTCTTCTAAAAATAATTCAAGTTTTAATAAGCCAGAAAATTTTGAGTTTATTATATATTATAACTTATATAACCAGAAATAGAAACTTGAGTTTATTATATATTATAATTTATATAACTAGAAATAGAAACTTGAGTTTATTATATAAAATTACTTATATATAGAAACTTTTATTATAAACTTCTTGTTTGAATTAATTAGTTAAATCTATTTTTAATATTAAGTCTTTATTAAAATAACTTCCTGTTTCTAGAGGCTTTAGATAAAATAGCTAATAAGTTTCTTAGCTATTAGCTAAGACTTATTAGCTAGAAAATCTATAAATAATAAATAAGATTATAAAATAGAACTTTCCTAATTATAATACTAAAATATTTTACTATAATATAAAATAATTAGATATAGAAGCCCTATTAAATATAATATATCTTGAGTTATAAGTTTATAAAATAGATATAAAAAGTCTTAATATTTAACTAGTATTATAGTCTAGCTTAAAAATATTTATTATTCTTTATATCTAATTTAATAGAAATAAAGAATACTTATATTTTAATTCGAGAAATAATTAGAACTTTTATATAGATTTAGAATAGTGGTTTATTCTATAAAAAGAGAATAAACTAGAAATACCTATATTATATTAATTTTTAGGAAAGGTTATAATAAATACTATAATTCCCAAAATATTTTTAAGAAAGCTTTCTCGAACTAAAATAGACTAGTTTATAATCCCGAAAGATTTATAGGAGTTTTATATATCCGAAAGTATAAATATTTAAGGTAAATACTATTTAAGTTCTAACTTATAATAAAATATATAAAATAAAATATATAAAATAAAATATATAAAATAAAAGTAAAATAAAATATTCGGATATTTAATAAATAAAAAGCCTAATTATAGATTATAAGAACTAGTACTAACTAGATATATATATAGTAATATTAAAAAAAAGATAAAATAAGGGAAACTAAAGAATAAATTAGTATATATTCTAAGATAAAGAATAGAAATATTTAATAATAGCCTAAAAGCTTTTATAAGTATTAAAGAAAGAGAGGAAGTATTAAAATTCAAAGAAATCTAAATAGGAATTAGCCTCTTTTTTAGAAGTTCGAGAAAAGATATTTCTAAAGAATTTAAAGATATAAGAGATATTAGAAAAAGAAAAAAGGAAATATTAGAAAAGAAGAGAAAAGATCTAAAATTTAGCTTTCTAAGAAGTAAGTAGATTAAAGACTTATAATATAGGAGTTCTAAATAAAAGTAATCCGGAAATAGTAATTAGATACTAGCTTTTAATATTATTAGTAAAAGTATTAAAGAAGAAAGAGTTTAGAGAAAGAGTTTAAAGAAGAAAGAGAGGTTTAAAGAAGAAGAAGAAGGTTATAAGATAATTAAATACTAGCTCTTAGTATTAATAATAGAAGTATTAAAGAAAGAGGAATTTGGAAAAGAAATTCGAAAGAGGAATTTAGAAAAGGAATTTAGAAGAAAAGAAAAAGGTTATAAGGTAATTAAATACTAGCTCTTAGTATTAATAGAGATATTAATAAAGGTATTAATAAAAGTATTAATAGAGAAGATATTAGTAAAGAATAGAAGCTTTTAGTATTAATAATAAAATCGAAAAAATATTATAAAAAAATAAAGGTTTTAGAATAAAAATAAAATAGAGTTATAGTTTTATAGAAAATAAAGATACTAATATAAAATAGTTATATTATTATATAATTTTATATTTGCTTTTATTATTTATTAAGGATATATATTTTTTAGGAAAAAGTATTATTTAGAATTCTTAAATCTCTATAATTTAATAATTATATATTCGAAAAATAAAAAATAAATATAATTATATATATTAGAATAAGAAAATTCTTTTTATCTAAAAATTATAATTATAATATTACTAAATATAGAAATATAGAAATTCATATAATAAGCTATATATAAAAATTTAAAGAAATTTAAATTATCTCGAATTATTTATAATTAGTAAAATAAATTAGTTAATTATATAAATCGAGTTTAGTTTAATTATTATTAGTATATTTTGGCTTTTATAAATTAATAAGAAAAAGAATATTTTTATTTTTATTTTTATAACTATAATATCTAAAATTATAATTTTTTAATATTTAAATATATTTAATCTAGGGCTATTAAATACTAATATTTATTATAAATTTATTCGAGTTTAAATAATTATATTAGCTTTAATCTTAGTTTTAATTTTAATTCTAATATATAATACTATTATTAAAGCTTTCCTTTATTAAAGATATATTAAATATGGCTTTAGATAGCGGCTCTAGTAAAGATAAAAGTAGTAGAAAAGGCAATAAAGCTATAAATAAGTAGAAAAATAATATTTATAATATATTTTTTAATAATTTAGACTTAGTCTATAATATTCTTTTCTATTAATATATTTAATTAATAAACTTTTCTATTTCTCGATTTCCTTCTTATATATAACCTTTTTCTTTTTCTTTTCCTTTTCTATAATAATATTACTAAAATAATAAAGTAAATTAATAATAAGACTAAAGTTAGAGAGATAAAGCTATACTAGGGCAGGGAGCTAAAGGAATTAGAGAAAGGCAAGACAAATCTGGAGGCAAGCTTAATATATATTTATAGAACCGAATTCTTTTAAGCTTATATTACTTATAGTAATAAGAAGAGACTAAGGGGCCTTTTTAAATACTATATAGTTATAGAAGGCAAATTTAATAGTATTTATATAAATTATAGATATAATAATAGTAAAGTCTATACTTTCTATTAACTTAACACTAATTCTACTAAGTCTGGAAAGCCTTACTCTATATCTATAAAATCCTTTATATTAAAGCCTTAATTATCTATAAGATATAGAAAGCGAGTATAAAGACAGATATAAAATTAGAAGGTAATAGGGAAGGAGGTTATAGTAGAGGAGGATAAGGATACTAGAGGAGAAGGGGACGAAGGAGATATAGATAATTCGAGTAATATAGGTAATACGGAGGATATAGAGAGTGAGAGAGATGGAGATATGCCTCGTAATCTATGGGATTTGCCTTACGGACTATATAAGCTAAGGGGGGGTTAGGAGTAGTCGAGAATAAGGCATATATACTGTACTTTTTTTTTTTAGTGAGGGTGTGGTGGGGGGGGGGGGGGGGGGAGGTATGGGTGCGAAAATCAGAAAATCACTTTTCGCTTCTCGGATTTGTCCGCTAGCCCGCTAATGGCCTCAGTAGCATCGACGATGTGGCTAGTGAAATCATTGATTGCATCCTGCGAGGCACGATCCCCAGCTAGATCCTGATCCGCGATAAGTGTTCGCCAGTATGATTCAAATATCTCATGTTCAGTCAAAGCAAGACGCTTCGAGGTGAGAGTTTTAAGGGCAATCTGTCTCCATGATTCGAGAACTTTATTCAGGGTCGAGTCATCCTTGTACACGCCCCCAATGTCTTCAACTTCGTCACAGATTATCCCATTTATGGCGAGAGCGTTTTCGTTAGGGCGTTGAATAGAGTCTTCTTCCACGGGTATATCTGCTGAAGCATGGTAAAGGTTTTCGCCACCTTCTTTTACACGCAGAATTTGTGCCTTCCAGTCGACTTCAAAGTTCGGGACCCAGCTAGGGAGCCCCGATTCTCTTTCGGGATCCTGGCACGCGGACAACACATCTAAGGATCTGGTATTATAAATGAGAGATTCGACAGCTGCTCTGAAGACCTCCTCTTTTTGCATAGAATAGTCGGGCTCTAAGCCTTTGACCTCATCATTATTAACGATACCCAGTACAGCGTAGACCCTATCCCGCGGGTCGGTAGACTCGCAGGCTCGGTTATGGAACAGCATATTCTGGAATCCAGCAGAACCAGCGTCTCTTATGTTCTCTCGGATCGTATCTATGAAAATCGCTTGGTGGTAGCCACTTGTGTAAGGGCTAATCTTGGCGACAATTGGGTCGAATTCAAACAGATTCTGGGACAAAATCTCACATGCCATAACGAGAGTCGTCCATTTTTGCGTGCGGTTTCCGCAAAGAACGTAGACTTCGGTGGCCACAGCCACCTCTTGTCTTATCCAGACCCGACGCCAATATGGCCTCGCAAAAATGTGTCCTAATGCTTGCCACTGCCAGAGGTCTTCGGCCCTCTCTAGGGAGGTGCGGACCCATTCATCGGGTGTGTCTGCATCCGTCATTTTATCAATCAGATCCATTGCTGCTCCACTGCCCTCTGCCTCTTCTCCTAGCCACACGAGTGCCTGTATTGACCTCTCGTAAATCATTTTCATCTTCATCACTTGATTTTTACGCTCAGAAATATCAGTCTGGTTAATGCAGATCGCATCGACCCATAAGTACCGCTTCCGGGTTCTACCTCTTAAGCGTCGTAGGACGGCGGCGAGGTTCCGAGTGACTTGGAAGGCATGACCGTCGAGAGTGATCGATTCCGTAATCGTCGCATCCCCCCAGGTGTACGAAAGAGCTTCGTAAAAGGCGAAGGGTGCCTCATCTAACAGATCAAGGTCAACCTTAACGAGCTTGCATTTGATTGTGGATAGCTTTTTGAAGGATGGTAGGATTGCAAGCACTCGTATCTCCGGCCTTGTTGGATCAAGAGATTGGTACTGAAGGCTGCCCATCTAGACAATTGCCGTGGGGTAGTACGGGTATTCCAAACAAAAGTCCGGACGAGAATAAAATGTTCCGCGGAAGTGGTAGAGCAGTTTGATTAGTATGAAGGTGTGTCTTGATTGTTGCTTTCTCACCAAATTGTGGAAGCGGATACCTCGTTAGCCGTACCGATTGATGCAGTGATCGCTAAATTTAGAACTCGGGGAGGGGCTCACTTCTGTCCCCACCATCACCACAGGCTGAGCAGACCGGAGCCGTGCCTGAGCCGACCCGATTGTTGCACTTCAGGCTGCTAAAGGCCCCTGAAGCATTCATAAGCTGCAGTGGCTATGGCCAAGTGCAAACATTCCCGTGGTATAACAACATATTTTCAGAAGTCGCCATATGGTAACACAGAGTCATTTTTGGACCCCTAAGTCGCTATATTTATTTTAGAGGATACCTCAACTGTGAACCTTGTAAGGTAGCAGGAACGGTTACCCGGGCAAAATCCGGTAAGGAAACTATAGCCGGGGCACACCAGAGGCCAAAATGGTTCCACACTATGGTACAAGGCTGACTCTGGGCGTACCCGGCTGGTAATTCTACGGTTAAGGGGTGGCGAGTGGAAGTGTGAGCTTGCCGAAGGTGGCTGCTACGACTGCGGCTGCACTGCGTAAGACGAGTGCGCTTACAGCCAGTGCGAGCGAGATGAGAGGATGGAGCTTTGGGGCTGTGGTTGTTGCGTTTGTGGGGGCTCCGGTCACGCTTTAAGCGCATATATTTCGGTGAGTCTTCTTGTATGATTTTCTTTGAGTGAGGGGGTGGGTTGGGTTGGGTTGGTTGGGCTAGAGAACGAACGAGCAGTGGATTGATAGATTGTAATTTAAGTAAGTACAGGTCAGTCGGTCCGTGTATTTCAATACGAACTTTCGTCATACGTTTTCCTCTCTGGTTTTGCTTTAGTGCATTTCCTTCACTCCTGGCCCTCATACAGTACAAGATCCCACCACCCTTCCCCTCCCCTCCCGCGACCTCTCCTGTCTGCTAGCAATAATTCTTTCGTTTCCCATCAACCTCCCTCCACCTCCAAAAGCAAGCTCCGCCCCCGAATATATATATTAACGAGAGGGTTCAAGCTAACCAACCCGCTTCATTTGTAGCAAGTAAAGCAAAGCACCTTCGAAATCGAACGATCCGCACGCAGAATTATCAGACGCTCAGCTATTGCGGAGCGCATCTGAATACATACCACCAACCAGCCACCAAACGTGGTTGGAATACTGATACGTACCAGCCCAGTGGTTTGCTCTATGCATGTATGAGAAGGTACGATATATTACATTGGATTTGAATAGCAAAGGAGCCAATTATGTCAAGGACGACAGCATCTCAAGCGTATTCGATGTAGCGAGATGGCCACAGACAGGGGAAAAAGCCAATAAGGCTCATGTTGTTCACTTTCCGGTCTGTGCTAGGCCGGAACCCCGCTGTCTGGCTACATTGAAATCGCACGAGGCGTTGTGTTGACCTTTTAACTTTATCCCTATCATGTGGCTAAATGTGCATATTGGTTGGGTCGCTTTCCCCCTTTTCAACCTGCGGGCGCGATTTTAAGGTGCCACTTTGTCGGGTGTATTTCGATCGTCGGCTGACCGAGCGCTTGAAGGGTTTGTCTTTCTTTTCTTCGCCTTTTCAGTCCGGCCATGCTATTCAAATCTGCTCCTCCTGGTTGCACGTCCCCGAGCCACGTGAGGACTACTACACTTCGGCAACACAATGCAAGGTAGAGGAATAAAACATTAATATTATCTACAAGAACTCGCTACTCTGTACACGGACTGCCTCCGATCTCGCTCCCCTAAACCACCGCCGTCTGGTCGTAGTAAAGATCACAAGCATGCGGGTGCTGCAAGCAATACTTCGGCATCAACGGCGCTGCACCGACCCCTAATTTCACCAGATACTCCCTGAAATTCAGAATCCGCTGCGTCAGTTCCGTGACTCGCTTCTTGCCCGCCGCGTTCTTGTTGCCAGACCAAGCTAGTTCTGCGAGGGCGGCGGCACGCGGCCACATCTTGGAGGAGATGGTCGTGTCGTCGGATTGCTCACTCCATAAGGGGGCGGTGACGCCGATCACGAGCTTGGCTTCCGCGGCCGTGAGGTTCGCCGTGAAATCGTAGTCGTAGATCCGCTGCCACGTCTTGTAGGGTGCGCACCTGTCCGAAACCATCAGCACTGCTTTTACATCCGAGGAGATTTGCCACAGGAGTTGGGAGGAGGGTCAGGACTCGAGGATGAGCGTGGGATGGAGAGGAAAAGAGACGGGTCTGAGAGGACCGAATAGGACAAGACTAGACTCACCAACTGCCTCCGTTGCCTCCCCAGTTGAAGTTCGGGTTCGCCGTCGCCGCGTCCGGGTTCGTCAATATGTCGTAGCGGGGATCATTCGATACCCAGCCGCCAAAGCCGCAGTCGAGATAGAACCAATCGCTGCTGCTCACGATAACCTGATACCCTGCCTCGGTGAGAGTCTTGATGTTCGCAGGCCCGTTGTTCCACGTCTGCATTATGATATCCTTGGGCACCGTCCACGCATGCGGCGTGTTGATCGTGAGATCCTCCCACATGATGAGCTGTCTCTTCGAATTCCCGCTCGTTTTCGGGTCCGTGAAGATCGGCACCGCGTTGTCGACCCAGTGCTGTAACAGATCATTGTACCCCCGTGACGAATTCGCAGCGAACCACTCGGTGGTGATTTTGGAGAGGTTGTAGCAGCCGGTTTGCAGCTCGTCGCCCCCGACGTGGAAGAAGTTATCCGTGAAAATGCCAGACAGTTCGGAGTAGACTTTGGAGACAGCGGTGTATGTTTTCGGGTTCAGGATCTCGAGCTGCCCTGGGTTCGGCTCGACGGCTGTGTGGAGCGGCCAGTTGTCGTTGCTCCACCAGGAATCTGCGCATGCTACGATAGACGGATCGATTTGCTTCCAACCTGAGGAGGCGTGCCCTGGCATGTCGATTTCCGGGATCACTCGCACCCCGCGAGCAGTTGCGTATTTCAGGACGTCTTTCAGGTTGTTGGCGGTGTAGACCTCGTTCGCGGAGTAAGCATCCACTGTCATTGATGGGTAGGACGCCATCTGAATGGGCCAGGACTGCGAATCATCGAGATGCCAGTGCAAGGCGTTTAACTTCGAGAGGGCCATCCCGTCAATCTGCTCGTAGATCTTGGGGAGCGAGATGAAGTTCCGTCCGGAATCGATCATGATCCCTCGGTAGGGGTACATTGGGGCATCAGAGATGGAGACAGGTTGCTCGATCATGAGCCCTCCATGGCCGTCTGAGATGACCAGCTGTTGCAGCGTGGTGAACGCGTGCAGAGCGCCCCAGTTCGTCTTCGCTGTAATCGTGATCACTTGGCCCGTGGCAGGGACGTCAATGGTATACGATTCATCGACGCCATGTTGCAGCGCCGCCTTGCTGTCTGCAATCTGCACCGTAATTGAGTTCAGGGTCGTCGTCCCTCTCTTCTTCTTTGGTGTGGAAGTGGGGAAGACGGCATAAGTGGCGATTGGCGCTTCCGTGGCCTGTGGCACCCAGTGCAAGCTCGTGATGGCATCGTAGGCGCGCCCCCAGGCGTCGGAGACGAGGCTATTCGGCGCGCCGTTCAGGGCCAGGTTCCGCCCGTTGAAGGCACGCGGGCCGGAGCTACCCCAGGTTATGGATGTGGGTGCTGGGAGCGGGTTGACTGCGACTGCGTTCACGGCGCCCGACACGCATAACGTGGCGGCGAGCAATGATGGGAGGAGATGCATTTTGCTGTTTGGTGAGCAGAGGAAGGTGCATATACACCAATACTCTCCAGAAAATATTGGGGGAGTGCGGACATGGGCGATCATGGCGATCATGGCGATCATATACTTACCTACGGTACTCTGCTGTCCGCACCCGAATCTGCGCCATAAATTTCATTAGAGGAAGCAAGGTTGTTTGGGAGAGTCGATCCCCTCAGGTACCGGCTAGTGAATTTGGCCGAAGCAGCTCTCACAGGGGGTCGGCCGCCGGGATTGGTCGCTGCACTCTCGCTGTGCGCGCGGATATATTGGCTGTCGATCTACCCCTAACCACGACCCCAATATCGCATCGAAGCACTGATTGGGCTTTAACGTTGCACGTCACCATCATGACCGCATGTAGAAGAGGGGGATGCCAATGCATGTGACAGCTGGGGTAGCTGTTGATCTCCAAGGTGCAGGTGAGAAGTGCGGGCGAGGATCAACGTTCCACCGGCGGTGCGGAGAGCAGATATCCATGATCCATCATATCCTGCTTGGTGAGGAAACGTTACAGTCGTTTTTAGGGGGGGAAGGGGGCGGGTTGTGCTGGAGGGGCCCAGATTGGCGAGCCTAATGACCGCCCATCTGGGTCTTGACGGGCCTGTCCAGTGGCGTCGCTTGGTGGTAGTGGCTTGTGGTTACAGGGTCCTTTGGGTGACTGACGCAGGTAGTGCGGGTGCGGGGGTTGTTGCACCTGGGCCGAAATGAAGCTCTCGTGAGATGGGGACATGGGATGAGGCTGATGATAACGGAGGTCAGGGGCCGTAGTAATGGAAGTCGTATCCGAGGACTGCGAGGAGACCTATCAAGGAATGGGCGTTCAAATAAAGTTGGTGCTAAAATGGGCCTAGCTGCTCAATGTTACAAGTAGATCCGCAAGGGATGGCCCTCACAGCCGGGCAGGGATGATCTCATTTTAAACTGCTGGTCATTTCCCCCTTGTCTCCTTTAACTTCGCTGCATCGTCATCTTCTTTCTTTTAGCTTTCTACTTCCTTGATATATGATCTCACAAAAAACTCAACCCTACGGATTGCTGGGGAAGTTCTCCCGCCCTGATCTCATGGCCAAGCTGGCTTTATAGTAGGACCGTCTGATTCAGCATCGCCAGGTTGCCTTAGATGTCAAATGCCACATTTGCTTTGATCGTGCACCATGCTTCGTTCTCCTATCTTTCTTGGGAATTTATGGCTACCATCATAGAGCAAGCCTTCCACCGATAGGTTCCGAGATCGTCTATCTACTTGGATTTCCATCATGCAATCCCCTTTTCCGTGTTGAATATGCGAAGACGCCTCACAGAGACTACGCCCAAGGAGATATGACTGTAGTAATAGAGTCTGAATCTAGACTTTCGTCGTTCTCAGAGTTTCCTTTCCTTTCCTTGGCTGCGGCAGCCTAATCTCATATGCTCTTGCACCCTCGGTTCACTTACGCCTCGCAGTCAGTTCATTAAGTGGCCAGTTACAGCGCTAAGATATGTATGTTTACCACGAAAGTTAGACTCTAATCTCATATTCACTGCTTCCATTTTAATCTCCGGATGTGAGTAACTGCCATTTTAACCTACAGTAGGGTGCAATAAGTTTGCATCCTTGTCTAGCGTGCCAAGCTTTTCTAACCTAATTTGTATGGGAAAGGCTTGCCACTTTAAACAGTAAACAAAGACTCCTCAATATCATTAACAAAGATCTAATATTTTGTATACCATCCTTCCGTATTAATTACTGCTTGTATACGGTAATCCATCGTAGTAGCTAATCTATATAAGATCCCATTATCAATATTATGCCATGCCTCTTGTGCTCCTCTAATTAATGCACCCAAAGTCTCCTCCGTATCTGGGGCATGTTCAAGCTCAGGGTATAATCGATATAACTCAGCCTTTATTAAAGCCCAAAGGTTCTCAATTGGGTTCAAATCAGGAGAATAAGGAGGCCATTCCATTACTCGGATCCCCATCTCCCTCAAGATATCCCTTATAATTAAACCACGATGAGGGCCAGCTCCATCGTACATAAACTCTCCTCCGTTAACCATAATATCCGGAAGAAAAGCCTCATATAACGCCCGTATAACCCAAGATATAACTCCTCCACGAGCAGCTTCTGGATCGCCATCAAGAGGCACCAATCCTGTACGCCGATTATGCCCAAACGCTGCCCAAAGCATTTTCTTTACTCCCTTGCCAGTATAGCGAACTATTCACGCCCGTTCGTCAATACGAGCGATTTGGGAATCGGGCGCTATCAGGGCTAAGCGAGGGGCCCGATTGCTCAATCGTCTACTTAAGCGAGCTCCGGTTCATAAATCCGAGGTCGGATACGAGCGAATTTTGAAAATATTATAATATTTTCAAATTAATAAAGTAATAAAATTCTATTAGTAGGATCCATTAAAAATAATTTAGTTAATAATACTATTTAAGTAATTTTAGCTAAAGACTTTTATTAGAACTATATATAATTTTAATTATAAAATAGTTTTTTAAAATATATAATTATATGAATCTTTTTATCTTTAATAGAATTTAATCTAGGTAATACTTATTTAAGTTTCTTATAAGTATTAATGCTTTTTATTTAATTAAAATTTGGCCTTTATATTTTATTAGAAAGTTATATATTATTTTAAAATTAGGCCTTTTTATTAGCGAATCGGGCCCCTCGCTTAGCCCTGATAGCGCCCGATTCCCAAATCGCTCGTATTAACGAACGGGCGTGAACAGAACAGGTTATACGTCTCTTGCCAGTATTTAATTACTTGGACGTATAAAAGTCTATATAGGCTTCACTCCTATACCCCTCTCAACCGTACACTCATTGGACCACGAGACCTTTATCCAATCATGGAGTGTATATGCTTGATGACGAATTGCCTAGTTCAATCGTACCTGAGTATGGGCAATAGTAATTATAGGTCGTTTCTTTTATATCCACTTCCTCTTCCCTATCTCCCGTAATAGCCCTTGCAGTAATCGTTTCTTGATAACGTCGTCGACTTCGCGAAGGAGGTCTCTTATTTTGATATGAGGATTCGTATGATTAACTATATCGTATATGTAATCTCGTTGCTCTTCTATAAGGGCTCGTGGTCTGCCAGAGCGCGATTTGGAGGCATTATCGATACGTGAGGCCTCTCGCCGTATTATTGATTTGATTATAGAGAAGTTGAGTTCAAGGTATAACTTGAGGATCCTATTTAGTGATAATCCAAATATCCGCTGCGCTGCCACCAGGGACGAATTGGCCCGTGCACATCTAAGCGAACTGAATCAGCAAATCATATCGCCAGATTCATTGATTTAAGACCTCTGATTTGCTGCAATTTTGCGGTATATTTGATCACGGAAATTCGTCCCTGGTGGCAGCGCAACGGATAGATAGCTCGCAAATACGTGAGCGTATCTGCGGGCTCAATTCGCGTCGAACCATTCTGAATAGTATCAATTTGTTGATATAGGACGCTTTGTTTACTTGTCTAAAGTGGCAAGCCTTTCCCATACAAATTGGGTTAGAAAAGCTTGGCACGCTAGACAAGGATGCAAACTTATTGCACCCCACTGTACGAAGGCGGGCGGCATTAAAAGTCATGCAATTCGCTAAGCGAGGGCGGGCACAACCTTGACTCTCGCAATATAAAAATTCTCGTAATTCCGTATTATATTTAATTATTGAGAAAATTCCACAAAAGTTAGATATGCTTATTTTCTATCTCACAAAGCTATTTTAAAGAGTTTTAGGGGTTGCATTGAGATTTGGTGTGATTTTCCAAAGGTAGCGATTTTGGTGTTCCTCGTTTTTTAGCGGATGGACGATTTTTAATGCCGCCCGCCTTCGCAAGCTGAGGGTGAGCATGCTGAGCCAAGGATGATTATGCCGGAGCAGAGCCTAAGCAACCCTGAGCAGGGCCTGAGCATCCTGAGCACGCCCTGGGTTGGTTTATGCACTATAATATAGAACCCATTTTGGCCTCCTGGATTCCCCGGCTATAATTTCCTTACTAATACCGGATCAGGTATATAGAAATTAACCTGAGACCTATTATAGCCTCCTTTGCCCCTTAATAATAATAAACTTATTCCAAGATTCAATTTTGGCTAAAGTAGTTTAAGATTATTTCTTTTCTTTATTAGAGGTCAAGTCGGCTGAGAATACTTGTGATGGGCACACGTGATGGCGCATGGACAGGTGTCATATTGAACTAGCTAAAGCAATATAGCTAGGGTCACGTGCTTGCAATGTAAACCAAGTAAAACGTACTGAATTGACTGCTGTTCTACAGTGGTAAGTAGCCCGTATATATAGCCCTGAACCCCCTAAGTCACATGTACTAAATCCCTATGCCAGCTGAACCGATTACAGCTATACAGGGTATTCCAGCCGTACATGGTATTCCAGCTATACAGGGTATTCCAGCCGTACAGGGTATTCCAGCTATACAGGGTATTCCAGCCGTACAGGGTATTCCAGCTATACAGGGTATTCCAGCCGTACAGGGTATTCCAGCTATACAGGGTATTCCAGCTGGACAGGGTATTAAGCTAGTGCACAGCCCCATGGCGTTCGGTTCCAGGGCTTACTAAGCCTATTAGGGGCCTCAGGCCCCTAATTTCAACATGTCAGATGTCGTGGATCTAGTTTCCTATTTTGGGTACAGCTTGCGATCGGAATCGTATGGATCGCATGGGATTTCCTAATTAAGTAAAGGGCTTCGCATGCCTGGCTAAGCACTAGGGAATATATAGGGAGACGCTCCTAGCTTTGGAAGGGGCATCGATTAGTCTCTTGTTGGAATCAATTCTTGGAATCAGTTACACTTGCAAGCGTCACTCCGCAGCTTACTTACCTTGACTACTTGTGCATCACCCTGCTATTACGTGCCTTACAATACTAATATAAAAGTGCGCGAGAAAACAAAAACTAAAATCAATTAATTCGAAGACTAATACCGAAGTATAAATTAAGCAATTAAGTATAAAGGGAAAAGAAAAGTAAAGTAAAACTATATATATCTTATAAGAATGAGTCACGTGCTTGGCTTAAGTGAGTGTCACGTGACTGGCCAATTAGATGTCTCCGAAATTCCTATTATAATATTTTATAAGTTAATATATAGTAAATCGAATTTCCGATTCTTGTAAAAGAAAAACCCCAATGTCTTTATTATCTTCCGGCGACATGAAGTCCGAGATAGCATATGGGCCTCAAAAACACTATAATGTCAAGATTATCTTCGATAATACAAGATCCCCAACAAGAAAGACCTATAAAGGAGACATGGCCACCATGAGGAATAAAGCGATAATCCCCTGCTCCCAGTCTTCTTCGGCTTCATACTCCAGCTATGTAAGGATATACTATCTAGTCTAAAGCATCCTCCAGACCTCACCGCCCATAGGGGTATCGTTGCAAGAATGCTTCTCTCTCCATCGGTTCCTTGGCATTATCGACATCCGCCCTCCCATTGAGAGGTGGAGGATTGGTGTCTCTCACCACTCGAAGGGATAGCTACGACGTAGCACAACGTGGGTCCTTCAACCTCATCTATACAGCAATTCTATGCTGCTCCCTATCGTCGTTTCAACCTACCCACAATCGCCGCATAGTACCGCCACTCCGGGAGCGGAGACCCTGGTAGCGAATCGAGCTTGATAACTGTCTACACGAACACCGTGTTTGGTGTTCCCATCAGAATTTTCGTGCTCCTTCACCTCCTGGGCGACCCGATGCCCAAAATCAAGGATTTGAGAGGGAGGTGGCACGGAAAGTGCTGCAGTTATTTGGATAAATCGGCGAGACATCAGCGTGGAGGTGAAGAGCAAGCCATCGGTTCTCCGCTCCTGGCTGAGGATAGATCCATTTCAGGACACTTGAAGATATTTTAAAGGCAACCAAATAAGAAATTTGACAAAGGTAAACAGTAGAGACACATTCCATTAAACATTCTATTACCAACTGAGTGGATAGAATCTGACCTAACGGAAAGTATTAAACTTTGAAGTGTTGGGGTGAAGGATGCGAAGGGCAGTAGACTACTTTTAAAAACGCGGTTAGGGGAGAACATCCATTAAGGGAACTGGATCAGTATAGAAGGCCCTTTGATATTCTATGGCTAGATTAACTTACCGTTGGTAAATCAAATCAACATCCCTTCAAAATCAATGTCTATTCTTCAAGGCACCCCCTTATAATTCTAATCTTTTTATGAAGAAATCTGTCGATCTAGTACTTTGTCCTTGACTATGAATCTTGGCGTTCAGGAAGGTTTCTTTGCCGTTACGACATAGCTGTACCGATATGTTAGTCCAATGTAAATCTCAACGGTGCGCAAGCACTTACATATTCCAGTATGCATGTATCCGTGTATTCTTCATATCGTTTCTGACATCTATCAAGAAGACCTCCAATTCTTCTGCAGACCATCCGAGGCCGCGCGTGAACAGAGCCAAGCTCAGACCCTGGAGTCCTGTGGTCAGGTTTTCAACAGTCCACATCCCTGAGGATCGTCAGTACAAAATTGAGTAGCATCCGGATCGGCCCGATAGTAGCTGTAATCTCACTACGGCGATGTGGAGTTGACTTACCCAATTCTTTATACGCCCGGTCCTTCGGCCATCGATTCTGTGGCCACTTGTATCTTGTTTCCACAACGTCTGTGAACCCAGCCTCTTCAAGCTGTTCTTTGTAGCGCTTAGCACTTTCTACTTTCCTACCGAGTTTGTCCGCAGCTTCTGCAATGAAGTGTGATCACTTCATTAGAGCTGAGTCCTTTGATAGCGTACCATCATCACAATCAATTGGAAAGACGATGTCTGCTAGTTCGAGCTGCCCACCTGGATTGAGGAACCTTTGGAGATCAATCAGCCCGATCTTTACCTGAAGGTGGTCTCACGTACTCCTTAGCTTGGGCGATGAATTCAGGCCACTTGGCAATCGAGCCTGTCATCATGCGGGAATAGATGAAGTCGAATTTCTCAGTGTAAGTCCACGGGTCTTCTGCGTCGTCGACGTAAAAGGTCAGATTTGGTGGCGTGCTAGAGATAGGTTAGCTTAAAGTAAGGGACTGCGGACATTATAAACGTACAATGCTGGCTGGATGGGACTGAGATCAATGCCAACGACCTAGGTAGTGTTAGTGAGAAGAACCCAATCTTGGGTAAATAAATGACCTGTGCTTCCGGATGCTCATCGGCTGGAAAGAGTCAGTCACTAGAAGATGGGAAACGTAATTGTGCAGTACAAACCAAAGTCAATGGCCCAAATTCCTGTTCCAGTTCCCACGTCCAGCACCCGACGAAGTTTCTGAGACTTATCAATAATAGTCGACAATTTACCGCCAAATGTCAAAGCGAACATATGGTGTTGGAGATCTGCCTTGTTGTTAGGTTGTACAGGACTAATTTAAAGTCTCTCTGCTCTTCTTACCAAGGCGGTCATTCTCATTCTGGATAACAGTTAGCAATGCGTGGAATCCGAACTTGAGAACTTACCTCATCATTTGGTAGTATATAAGCTGTAAACGTCAACAGTTATCCTACATGCTGGTCGCAAGGGAAAGTTCTTACTCCCTTCCTTGTACGTATGGTAGGTTCTGCCATTCTCTTCTCGGTATCGTAAGATGCTCGAACCGATTGAGGCGGAAGAACTTCCGTGAGTACTCTGATCGAAGTATAAGCAAAGTAATAAATATCCCGTTGAACAGGATATGGTGACTACCTACCCCAATAGCGGAGTCCTGATCGTTGAAATCGTCCGCCTAGATGCGGATCAGCGAACTTCAGCACACTTGATGATTCTGGAGTCGGAAAAACCCCACCTCCGCAGCCAAGGCAACGTCGAGATTCCCTTGAGCCACAGACATGGCAGAGCTTGCGGAAAATGCCCAAAAGTACGTTGCACTAAATCAAGAGTAAATGGCTTGGTCCTGACAAAGCCTGGGTAGAGTGAGAGAGGCTACTCGGACCCTGGGATTGAGCTATATATCTCATCTGCGTTACAAAAACTCTATCGGCCTGCCCTTCTGCTGGTGGAATGGGGGCATGCACTCTGTCAGGCGTTCCTGTCCAGGGGGGTTCGGGGAAACACGAGCGAGTTCTCCCGAAAGGAAAATGATTTGCTAGAAATGGGCATTATGCTGTCCGACTCCGGCAGTTGCCGTACTTGCATGCATGGTGGGGTGACCTCGCTTCAGCTCAGCCAAACAGAGGTGCAGCATCTCCGTACCTCTTGCCAAGTATGCCGGACGATGGGCTGTAAAGAGTTTTTTTGCCGTCGGTGGAAGTACGCTAATAGGCCCTTTCGGATACGGTAAAAAAGAACGAGGTACCCCGTAAGTCGATGAGGGCAACCGCCGTCATATTGCCGGTAAGCAGCGCACCGGGTTAACCTGTGTGCTGAACCGGGTGAGTTATCGGGTGCGAATAAGGACCCACCAGGTTCTTTCTGCCTGATTTTTGACTTAAAGAAAATCGACTTTTTAACCTCAAGAATGAACCAGTTCCATAGTGCTTTTATAATAGTTTAGACACAGTTTAGAAACGCTTTGGTTAGGGGGTTAGGGTTCGGGTTAGTTAGGGTTCGCCGGGGATCTGGGGGGCGGTGGGAGCCCCCGCTTGGGAACACCTTGGAAATGGTTTTGATATAGTTAGAAAACAGTATTTGGGTTACTTACTTTAAAGATACAATTAATGCACAGCGAACCGGATATAGCAAAGCCATGTCCTGTTCGCTGTGCTACATAGACGGGAAGTTAATGCCTGACAAAAATTCCGTCTGGTTACTTTAAAAATGGTTTCTTGGAATCCCTGTAATCTCAACCGGTGGAACACACAGGTTACCTCGTTAGCCCGCTGCGCTGCAGACTCTCATATTTCATCCCTCATCCCGACCCTCTGGTTCTGCGTTCCCCCCCCCACTTCTCGATTTACATTACCAGCTTCCTCAGCTGTTCCCTCGTTAATTATCCAATAAAACTCCGTAGATCTTTGCTAGAAAAGCCAGCAGATTATCCTTACAACATGGCTTGGATGTCAGATATCTTCAGTGGCCTCCACCAATTGGAAGGTGCTTCTGATCGCTGCTCTACTTGTGGCAGTGCTTGCAGTGTTTGTTCAAAGTTTCCGTTCCTGGTACCGTCTACGATCTTTCAAAGGGCCATTCTTGGCAACGTTTTCAGACCTATGTAGGTATTTGAGTTCATATATCTCATCTCTAGCTCCCTCACGATCTCGTCCCGCTCCCGAGACAATCGTAATAGAGCAATTGCTGAGCCCGCCGTTATCTAGGGTTGATCCGCCATGTGACAGGCGGTAGAATACACTTAGATCTCTTCGATGTTACGGAGAAATATGGTAGGTCTCGAGTTTCCAATTCCCCTGGCTGATTTCATTTGCTAAAAAGTTGATATGGCAGGACCCCTTGCACGAGTTGGCTCGAACACTTTAGTGACCTGTGATCCAAACTTGTTACGAAAGATGTTAGCTGTTCGAACCCGATACAAGCGATCAGACTGGTATTTTGGCATGCGACTTGATCCAAGCTGTGATAATGTCATATCTCAAAGAGATGACGAGAAGCACAACATCTTGAGAGCGAAGATGGCAGCTGGAGTAAACGCATCTTGCTCCATGGAGATTCACAACTAACGGTGCTTCTTAGTACTCTGGAAAGGAAGTTGAAAATCTGGAAAAGTCAATCGACCAGAATGTGATATCATTGGTTGATCTGATCGGGAGGAAATATCTTTCGACCAACTCTGACTTCAAGCCTCTTGATTTTGGTCGAACAGCTTCATACTTCACTCTGGACACAATATCCAGCATCGCTTTTGGGAACCCATTCGGAGATCTTGCAACCGACTCAGATGTTCACAAGTACATTGCAACGACAGAGGAGGCCGTACCTGTCATTATCCTGGTCACAGTTATCCCATGGCTCAGCAAGTTGCTGCAGACAAGCATCATGAAGAGATTCCTCCCAACCGAAAAAGACAAAATTGGCTTGGGGAGAATTATCGGGTGAGCATTGAATTCCCGTAAAAACTTCTTCGTTCAGAAATAGAACTTTGCGGCTGACATTGAATTCTTCCAGTGTGGCTAAGGACTTTGTTGGGAAGCGATTTGGACCGAACAAAATAGTCAAGAAGGATATGCTCGGTTCATTCCTCAACCATGACTTGACACAAGAGGAAGCGGAATTGGAATCGCTGGTTCAAATGTAAGTTTGAATTATATGCAGCACTTGCACTGGCTAACTGAACTAGCCTAGCAGGATCTGATACTACCTCTACAGGGATTCGTGGAACCATGCTTCATATCCTAACAAGTCCTCATGTTGTATCTGAACTCCTTGCCGAGATAGCTGAAGTCTCGCCATCCTCCCCAATCCAAGATGCCGAAGCAAGGTCAATGCCTTACTTGCAAGCAGTGATCAAAGAAGGACTCCGCATATTTCCTCCCGTGGCTGGCCTTATGTCGAAGGACGTCCCACCTGGAGGTGATACCTTTAACGGTCTTTTCATCCCTGAAGGCACGAAAATTGGCTACTGTGCTTGGGGAGTGTTCAGGAACAAGGACATATGGGGCGAGGATTCTCACGTCTTTCGTCCGGAGAGGTGGCTTGACAGCCCCGCTGATAAACTTCACGAGATGGAAGCAACGCTGGAACTTATTTTCGGGTACGGCCGTTGGCAATGTTTGGGGAGGAATGTGGCGTTGATTGAATTGAACAAGGTGTTTGTTGAAGTAAGTTTTTTGAAGACAACCCTACTGGGTTCCGCAGCTGACCGCCCTGTTACAGCTCTTACGGCATTTTGATATGTCCCTCGTTGAGCCACTGAAACCTTGGAAATCGTTTTGTGCCGGCATATTTCTGCAGAGGGAGATGTGGGCGAGGGTTACGAAGAGATCCAAAGTCCTTTAGTAGTACGAGTAGTGATTAACGGCCGCGAAATATACTTTTCGTTAGGTGATGCAGCCAGTTGCAGCCAGGGGAGAAAAAAGGTGCACTATATATGATGCCGAGGCTCTCCCATATGAGGCCAGTACATTGCACCCTGTAGATGCAAATTGTAAGCATATTGAAAATAATGAACGCAATTACTTTTTTGCGGTTGGTAATATGTTGAGGTTTGAGCAACAAGGCGGCATGCAAGAGCCCCAAACCCTTTAATCCTCCTTCCTCCCGTCCATCCCACAACTAGCATTCATCCAAGACAGAGCTTGAAATGCACAACACCAGAGAGAAGTGTCAAGTGCAAGCAAAAACATGCGTTTATTGGCCCAGATTTGATGGAGATCTTGGCGTTATTCAAAAGTACTATCCAATCGCCTCCTCAGTCTATGGTCAGCCGATGGTGAGGAGCTGCTCGTAGAATCCCCCGATCTGGAGGACCCGGTCGACGAGGTGGATTTCTAGAATCCAGTGCCGCTTCTGCCCAGACGGATTAAGGCGGCTCATGCGTTCATTGTTGCCGCGCGTGATGTAGAGTGAGATTTTGTCTTTGGGAATGCGCTCGTGAGGGAAGGATCCGACTAGGTGGCCCGCGATCTCTCCACCGTATTCCCATCCGGCCTCCTTCGCGGCGCCACATGCTAGGTCGTAAAGAGCCTCGCCCGTCATGTCTGGATTGGATTGAAACTGCGCCTTGACGGCGAGCCACGTCGGCTCAAGGGTGTCCCGCAGACGGAGCTTTGTCGGATCATCACCGAGCACAAAGGTTCGTCCAAAGTCGACTTCCCAAGCCTCAAACACCGGCCCCAGATCGACGAAGAGGATGTCGTCCGCTTGAATGATACGGTCAGGAGGATTTTCGGCGTAGGGCATCAACGTATTCGGCCCACTCCTGATCACGCGCTTATGCCAATGGTTGGTGACGCCGAAGCGCTCGGCGGCAAGGTTGTAGATCTCCTTACTCAGGTCCTTCTCACTTACACCAGGGCGGATGAGGCTGCGCTCGATCTCCTCGAAGAGGCTGATCGCCTTGTCTTGCGCATCTTGCAGATACGCCGCACGTTGGCTTTCTTCGGCCGCAGAAGTGGCAGTAGACATTCCTCAGGTTGCCAACGTAAGTTAGAGGGTTTCGGGGACGAAAGTGGTTGCAGGAATGATAGAGGTGCTAAGGGATGGATGATGAAATACTGTCCCTGGGCGGGGCAAGTCGGCTAAAGGGAACGAACTCAATAACATGGTTAGACCTAGAGAGTTTTGAAGGACCGCTGCCTCGCTTCTTCCCCCGCGGCACGAAGTTTCTCCGTGGAGGCCGGCATCTCCGCACTACGTCTCCAAGCCGTAAGGTTGAGCCTCATTACCGAGCTACGAGTACGGGCTGATTAAGCGACGTTCGGCTCAAAACTCGAGGGATGCGAGGAAACCAGTGTAAAAACCGCGAAAATGCCGAGTTTTAACCCGAGGGTTCTTAAATTAAACCATAGGCTAGTAAGGAGCTAGTGAACTAAACTCGAAACCGAAAACCGAAATTCGGAACTCACGCTTAATATATAATAAAGCCTTAAACTACAACTTTTATTTAACTTAAAAATTAAAATTCTAGCTTAAAAACACAACTACTCTTTAGCTTTTATTTTTTTTATTAAAAAAAAAAGAGTAAAATAAGAAGAATTAAAGAGAGAAGAAAAAGAAATAGAAAAGAAAAAAAGAGCTTATAGTATTTTACTTAATATTATTTATATATTCCTTAATTCTTTTTAATTTTAAGCTATATATTTTCTTTAATTATAATTCTAATACTCTTATTTCTCTTTATGTTTTTTTCTTAGCTTATAAGCTTCTTATTATTTTTCTTCTTATTTCTTATATCTCGTTTTTATTAAGTTTAAAAGTAATTCTTTAATAATTAAAATATTATTAGTTTTAAGCCAGAGAAACTTATATAGCTTACTAATAGCTTTAATAATAGTAGTAAAAGGTTTTTACTCTTATTACTAAGGTATTAAAGAGTTAATTTCTGGAAATTTATACTATATCCGAGAATTAGATTATTAAGCTAAACTTTTATAGTAAATTAATTAAAGTTCCGAATAGTTATATTAAAGCTTATTATTTCAGATACTGCTTCTGAAATTAGTAATAGCTAATATAAGTAAGAAATACTTAAAGTATTTATATTACTTATAAATATTTATAAGTAATCTTAAATAAAATATAAATAATATAAAACTCAAAAAATATAAATAAAATAAAATATATATTTATATATAGTTATATATAAATTATATATAGATTATATAATTCTAATAAATTAATATATATTTAATTTTTTAAAAAAGAACTAAAGCATTTATTAGATTGCTTTATATAAGGCTATTATAACGAGTCGAGACTCGATTTATATACTTAGCTAGAAGCCTTTACTAAATTATATAATAAAGGCTAGAGTCTTTATTATATAATATATTTCCTTAAATTAATAGAGTAATTATATATTATTTAGGAAGCTTGAATACTTTAGAGAATATAGTTCTACTTCTTTTCGTTTTTCGCTTTCTTTTTTTCTTAGAATATTCTATTTAGTTAATTAAATTACTAGTCTTTTTTATATAAAGGCCTGGCCTATAATATTAGAATTCTTTCTCTTTTATCTTTACTAACTAGAGATTATATATATATAAAGCTAGAAATAAGAACTACTTGAATTTATATATAGAAAATAGAGCTCGAAATAAATAAAGCTAAAAATAAACTTTATTTGAAATTACTTATAAAGCTAATATCTTAGTAAGACTTTAGAATATATAAAACCTAGTAATAGAAAATGCCCGAAACTATATATAGAAACTAGAATACTAATTTAACCGGTTAATACTAGAAATTATTTGGGTTTTTCTAAACCTGGCTTAAGAAAAGAAAACTACCGGATTTCTTTATTATATAAAGATTTAGGAGCAAGATTTCTGGTAATTAGTTAGATAAATAAATAGCTATATAAAGCTAAGATAATAAATAAAGCCCTATAATAGCTATAGAAAGCTTTTATAATATAGTTCTAATAGCTATTAGAATTCGTTATATAATAAGTAAACTTAATAATAAATCTAGTTATATAAATTAATTTAATTAATAAATATATAATAATTCCGAATCTTTTATAAATATAAATATTTTCTTTATTTTATATATTCTTTAATTTCCTTTTATAAAATAACTAAAAGCCTGCTTTTCGAATTCTAATAAGTTTAATAGAAATAACTTAGCCCTATACTTTTAGTTTAAAGAACTTTTATAGATAAAGCTAGAAATTAATAGAAAAGTAATTAGTAAAAAGAAAAAAAGGATTTAGTATAAGTTTAAATACTTATTCGAAGAAGTAGTAAGCCGGATATATTTATAACTAGAATATATTTAGAAGAAAGAGAAGTTTATAATTAAAAAACTATTTAAATAAATAAATCTAGCTTTTTATAACTTATAAAAGTAGTAAAAGGCTCTAGAAAAGTTAAATTAAATTTAATAAAAATTAATTCCTTTAGGCAAATTCTTGAGTAATTTTAATTATTTAATCCTAGAGATAAAGAAATAAAGATAATAAGATAAAATTAAAAAAGAATATTTTAAAGCTATTATTATAACTAAATTTATAAAAGAAATAATAGAAATAAAAAAGAAAGAGTTATATAAGAAATACTATTTCTAGTTATAAATAATTAATAACTAGCTAGCTAAAGTTAAAAATATAAAAGCCTATTATCCGAACTAGTTAAATAAGAGATCTAAAAGCCCTTTTTTATCTAGAGCTACTTTATTTATCTAGCTAATAGAATAGAAGCCTATTATAAATAATATAAAATAATAATTAAAGAGTATTTCTAATTAGGTCTTCTCGAATAAAATTAATTAATAAAGAAAAGAAAAACTTTACTTTTAATATAGCTAAAAATAACTATTTTATATATAATTATTAAGTAAAGCTATATTCGAGCTTCTTTTTCCGAGCTAGTAAATAAAGAAAAAAGAAAAAAGAAAAGTAGCTAAAAGTAAAAGTAAAAAGTATAAAGATATTAAGAATAATTCTAAAGAAAGTAAAGATAGTTCGGGGGAAAAAACAGTAATATCTCGAATAAGAATAGAAATAAAAATAAAGAAGGCTTAAGTTTATTTAATTCGGGAAAAGACTAGCTTTTAATAAAAGTTATTATTAGAAATATATAGAAATAAAGTTAGATTAATAAGCTTAAAAGTAATTTCGGAAGAATATAATTAGGCCTTTTTTTCTTATATTAATAATAGTTAATAAAGAATATTTTATATAAACTTTTATTAATACTAGATATATATCTTATAGAATAATTAATTCTTGCTTTACTAATTAATATAACCTCTAATATATACTAATTATTTCTAAATAAATAGAGGCTTTTAATAAAGTAATACCGGATATAATTAGAAAAGTAGTAATATTTGATATAAATATTAATAGCTATTATAAATCTTATATTCTTTTTTATATAATTTCTAAAATCTTTAGCTTAGATATAATCTTAAAAATATAATAGTTTTATTTATAGAATATATAAATCTATAGTTTAAAATTAAAGCTATTTGTTTTATTATTAGAAACCTTAGTATAAAATGAAGTAAGCAAGTTACTAACTTTTAGTCTATATATAATAGACTATATATAAGTCTTAATAGCTTAATTTTTTTATTTAGTAAAAAGAAATAAGAAAAGAAATATAGAAGTTGTCTTAATTAGTCTAGTAAATATTTAAAAAGCCCTAATTCGGAAAAAGAGAACTAATTCTTATATAAAGCTTCCGGAATAATATAAGAGCTTTTAAAAGGCATTTTGCCTAATTAAGGCAAAAAAGTTATTATTTATTTGAGACTAAGAAATTAATTACTAGATTAAATTAGAAAAAATTAATAAAAAAGAACCCGTTATATTATAGGGCCTATTATATTATATATCTCGAAATAAGCTTCTAGTATTATAAAAAATATTTATAAAACTACTAAATAAAAAGTTTATTTAAATAAGCTACTTTTCTATTATTATATTTATCCTTTTTATACGGAAACCCGATAGGGAATTATAGTTCTATATAAACTATTAGAACCTAAATAAGCTTATAAAGAAAAACTAGTATTTGCTTTTATTAATTTATAAAATCTTTTAAAATATTAGAAAAGCGAAATAATTTATAAAGCTTAATATTATAATAACTTTTTATAAGATTTATATTACTAAAAGAAAACAAGTAAAAAATAGCTTTTTATATAAGATATAAACTCTATAAATAGTTAGTAATTTCCTTTAGCCTAGTAAATATTTCGAATATATTTCAGAAATATATTAATTAAATTTTTAGGGATTTCCTAAATAAGTTCTATTTTATTTATATAAATAATATTCTGGTTTACTTATTAGAATTAAAAAAATAATACTATAAATATTTATAAAATATTTTTTAATAACTTTAAGAAATAAGTTTATAGCTAGATATTAATAAATATAAATTTAAGATTAAGTTAATAAAATACTTGAAATTTATTATAGAGGCCGGAAAGAATATTTATATAGATCTAGTAAAGATTAAAGGTATTTTAAATTAGAAAGCCCTAAAATTAATATAAGATATATAAAATTTTCTAGTATTTACTAACTTTTATTAATATTTTATTTAGGAATTCTTAGAGATTATTTAATTACTATCTAATCTTATATATAAGAACTAAGTATTCTAATAAATAAATAAAATAGAGGCTACTTTTAAAAGCTTAAGAAAATATTTATTTTAGCTCTAATACTAATATAATTTAATTATAATTAGAAGATAATTCTTGAAATAGATTTCTTTAAATAAAATATAAATAGTATTTTTATATAAGTTAATAGAAAGAATATTTTATAACTTTATATCTTCTTTTTAAAGAAAAATATTTCTATAAAATATAGTTATAAGATTTGTAATAAGGAAATACTTATAATTATTTATTATTTAGAGAAATAGAATATAAAGCTAAGAAGTATTTATTAGTTCGAAATTCGAATAAATTATAAAAACCTGAAATACTTTATAATAATATAGAAACTCACTAAATAGTAAATAAGATAGTTTCTAATTCTCTTATAATATAATTTCAAGATTTTATATATTTTAAAAAATAATAATAAATAAGTAAATATATTCTTAAAATAAAAATATAATCTTTCTAATAAAAAGAAAATAACTATTAAAGCCAGAAACCCTTAATAACTTCCCTAAAAACTTAATTCTTATAATACTAATATAAGTAAAAAGATAAGTTAAAAAGA